ATTATTTATGAGGTAGCTGCTGATTTATCTTTAAATATTAGTGATTATTCATTTGTATGTTTAGTGTTTGAGTGCAGCACATTCATTTTCTATAAAACTGGAAGAATGTTGGTGAAAGCCATGGCAAAATGTACTTGACACAACAGATCACATATGGGCTGGACACAATAGTTCACATATGGGCTGGAAGACTAGAGAAAACTAGTACTTTATGGTGTCTGTTTATAACACAGAGAATAGCTGCAATTCAGGGGATTGCAGCTATTCTCTGGTCATTCACAGTTTATGACACTCAGAAGATCAGTGGAGAACATGTTCAGCTCTTCACTGGAGATCTGTGTTCTCCCTCCAGATTCTCCAGCCCAGAGCTGGAGAATCGGAGGAACCGCAAATTAAGCAGAGATAATTTACCTCTGCTTAGTAAACTGACCTTTTACTGTAATCTCACGAGATTATAGTAAAATCAGCCGTTTTCCAGCGTTTGGAGACCGTTCTCCCTTCGTTTGGAGAACTGCTTCATAAAAGGCATTCACAGGAGAATGCCGGAGAACTGAGCAGCGAGCTATTACTGCTGGTTCATAAATGGACACCTTAATAATTGACTGGATCATTAAATTCTCAAATCAAAGGATACGTTCACCTTAAAAAAATATTAAATGCATTTTGTATAAAAAAAATGTGCATTTATTTTTTTTTCTTGACAGCCTGTAAATCATTGCACTTGCAGTCAGCAGATCTGAAGACTGTTTTTACCCCGTTTGCCCATACCTCTGATACTGTTACTGCAGTACAGGAAGCTCGATGGTGTAAGGATTTGGCGCTGAGAGAAGATAATGGCTCAGTGACACTGCAACAAGTATAATTGGTTAAGAACATGAATTAGAAACATTTAAAAATATTTAAAAAAACAAGTCCATATAGTCCATAGTTTAGGCACTAATGGTAGCAGCTCCCCATAGAGTGAAGCAGACTCTGTAGGGATATAAGAAAAACACAAAAGGGCGCCAACCTAAGTGCAGTATTTATAAAACGTTTATTGGTAATATAGCCAAATAGCTACTCACCTGAAAGATAAGCTATACAGGCTTTGGAACATGTCCTTGAGGGGGCCAGTACAGGGGCTGGTGGTGTCTGGTTATGCCTGGGTCCCAGGAGTGAGATGTGGAGTGAGCTGTCAGCGGTGGACACTGTGACAAGCACCGTAACCAGAGGGCAACCAATGGGACTGCGAGGACAGGTCAGGCGATGAGTAATGAGTGAGTCAGGTGATGAGTCAGGTGACGCATTTCAAAGCTTCTGCTTTTTCTTCAGGAAGCTCAATGGACTACGAGAGCGCTAACCAGTACCATTGCAATACATTGAGAACTACAAGCCATTAGCTGCAAAGGCTGACTCTACTTGTAGGCATTCATTTACAGAAAACTGTGAATGAGCCCCACACGACTGTGTTATTTTCAAATAGTGACAGTGAGCCCCTCAGTCACTTTCACAGGGAGGGAAGAGGCTTTAGTTTCTGAAACATGTTACTTGTTCCACCCTAAAAACGTAAATGTAACATGTTTCAAAAGGGGAATTTATCTTTTAATCCCCTTATTTCCTTTCATCAGTTGATGCCAAAATTGCATATGACAAAGAGGACTGGGTGTTCTTGGAGAAGACTTTAGAGGCCCTAGGGTTCGGATGACATATGCTCCATTAGATTAGGACCTTCTAGAAAACTCCAGCAGCTAGAGTAAAAATGAATGGCAACTTATCCCAAACTTTCTGAATTTGATACCCAGATTGTGAAACATACTGGATTGATAGGATGAACACCCATACCCATGTCTCTCCCCCTCAAAGCCATTATTTTTTTAATGTTAATATATGATACTTACAATGCAACATGAGCCCTCCGGTTGTAGTTGCTTTTTTTTTTTAACCTATCTCCTTTCCTTCATTGTGTGTGGAAGTCTTTTATCTGAATCACGTTCAGCAAATCAAACTAAGATTATTAAATTGGAGCTTTAATCTGCATATATTTTGACATTTTGAATAGAACCTTTTAGTTTCAATAAATACCTTATGCTAGATCCAGTAACAACATAATTGGGTCTCTGTGGTTCTCTATGCAATGAAGAAAGATTATGGATGATGGATGGGAGGGGGGGGGGTGCTGTGCATAGCTTCTTGAAAACATCACAGTACCCTGCCTCAAAACTGATGCAAGTCATTGGCTTTCTCTTGGGAAGAATTATGTAAATATTAAAATGCTTGAATGGGTGAATGTCAGTCTGGAGGAGAGGGCATTTCTTGGCACACTGAGCCTTGAAATAACTGAAATCTAATTAATGAAGATAAGGGACCATCTGCTTGGGGAGGAAAGTGCTAGACGATACTGGATTTCCTCCAGCCAGGAAATGAGGAAGGTTTTATTTAATTTGCTGCAGTTTCTAATGCACACTGTGAAAAGCTCACAGTGTGTAGTGAAATCAGAGTAAAGCAGTTTCAGTACAGGAAAGCAGCCAATGCAACTCTTGAAGACTGAAGGTAAGCCCAGAGTTTAGATTTAAATTATGTTTATCTGTGTATTTGTTTACATGCAAAAACCAGCTCTCACATCTGTACACCCTCTATGTGCCAGAACAACATTTCTGCTCCCCAATCATCAACAATTTAAGTCATACTATTAATGGTGAATTTTTCATTACTGCATGTCCAGTTTTAGGTTTGCTAAAATTATTTATTAAGCACAATAAATCTACGGTAGTTGGAACTACAATATACCAATCTTTTTTTGCAGCATATACAAGTAAAGCATAATAATAAATACAACATGTTAAAAATGATCATAAAGTTTTTCCCCTGAAAAAAAGTTTGATTATACAACATATGCTTCACCTTTACTGAAAACAAATAGAACATTCATGACCTCTCTGATCACTTCTTTTACCCTTCAATCTTAAAAATATATGTCTCAGTTATTCTTAGACTCATATAAAAAAAATTGCAAAACTAAATGACTGGATTCAAACGTATCTGAGCACCATAAGTCAAACCTCTTGTTAATAGATCAATCAGAAATTCCTCTCCCTACACCTCAGTCTGCTTTTAAGAATACTATTAAATCTTTCTGTTAACAAACTTATTAATACTAACTTAGATATATAAACTATATAAATAGAAAGGAACAAAGTATAGATAGAAAAGCATATTTATTAAAATAAAAAAGAGATAACAGGCAAGAAATAAACTACCTAAAAATCTAGAAGATTGTAAATATTAATCACACTTTATAGTAATACCTTTCTGAAAATACTAAATGAAGATACTGTACACCACATAAGATGAATGTTGTTTAATTCCTCCTAAGTACTCATAGACATTAAATGACTGTTGCCAACAAGCCCTATGTTAATAAATGCTGAAAAAAACCAAACAACTTATTGATCATGGGGAAACAATAACTGATGGCCATTTTTAAGCAATGCAGGTTGAATGTTATTAAGGCAGTGCCCAAGGAATCTGGCTGCTCTCCTCCCTTCACAAAATGTAAAAGTTAAAATCTACCTTACTTTCTCATTTAAAAGGACCATCTGCTCCTAACTTCTCCATGGTGCTCCAAGATTTTGTGAACTGTAATTAACGCAGACCACTACTGCAATTGCAAAATCAGCAAGAACAAGTGAGTTCATTTTTTACTAAGGCTCACCATAGATGGGTAATTTATTTGTTCAACCAGTGGACTGAATGAAAAAAAAAAAACAGATTCTTCCATGTATACAAACAAAGTGGATGGAGGAATCCCCCCACATTCACTAGTGGTCAACTATTCACTGTATATTAAAAACACTTTCAAACAGATTAATTTGCAGTTAATGGGCAGCACAGTGGCTAAATTGTTAGCACTTCAGCCTGGCAGTACTAGGGTTGCTGGTTTGAATCCCAACCCTGGCACCACCCGCCTGGAGTTTGCATGTTCTCCCTGTGACTGCATGGGTTTCCTCCAGGTATTCTGGTTTCCTCCCACACTCCAAAGACATGTTGGTAGGTTAATTGGCTCCTGTGTAAATTGGCTCTAGTATGTATATGTATAAATGTGAGTTAAGGACTTTAGATTGTATGCTCCTTGAGGGTTAGGGACTGATGTGAATGTACAATATATATATGTAAAGAGCTGCGTAAATTGACAGCGCTATATAAGTACCTGAAATAAATAAATAAATGTTTGCTGAACTATACATTTACTGCTTTATAAATATGTTGCTTCTACCCATTGCCTGCTTAAAGCATGAATCTGCACAAGTCTTAATCATGTATTGATTGACAACAGTCAAAGCCAAAATCACCATATGAAAATCACCTCTTAAGGTGGTTGTAAAGGCTGAAGGATTTTTACCTTCGTGCATTCTATGCGCAATGTTAAAAAAACCTGTGTGTAGCAGTGCCCCAGCCCCTTCAGTACTTACCTGAGCCTCATGGCGATTCAGCGATGTGAATGACAGCCTCAGCTGCCCCTGGAACTCTGCCTCCTCATTGACTGAGACAACAAGCAGGAGCCATTGGCTCCAACTGCAGTCAATCACAGCCAGTCAGCCAATGACGGGGGCAAGGCCAAGCAATGGCTCCATGTGTGAATTGATACACGGAGCAGCAGGTGCCCCCATAGCAAGCTGCTTGCTGTGGGGACACCCGAGAGACAGGAGGAGCCAGGGGAGCCTGTGTGGGACCTAAGAAGAGGAGGATCCAGGCTGCTCTGTGCAAAACCACTGCACACAGTAAGTAAGTATAGACATGTTTGTTATTTTCTGCCCCCAAAAATTAACCTTTAGAATTGCTTTAATTTCTGTTAATTAACCACCTTATTACCACACTATAGCTGAAAGATGACTACAGCACAGTTGTCTAGTTCTGGATCCTCCCAGAACCGTGTCCCCGAGGTGCACATCAGGCATGCTGTGTGTGACCACTGTGTCCTTGGACACAGCTGATTACAGATTGCAGTAAAGGGCCAATCACAACACTGTACCTGTGTGAAGAAAGAAGAGCCAATAACTGGCAAGGCTGTCAGTACATGGTTTACACTGATAACCAGGGCACTGATCATCAGTGCCCTAAGTATCAGTGCATCCCCATCAGTACAGCATAATACTGCCCATCAGTGTCACCTATCAGTGCCCATCAATGCCACCTCATCAGTGCACCCTGATCAGTGCCTTCTCATTAGGGCCCATCAGTGCAGTCTTATCTGTGCCCATCAGTGCAACCTCATCAGTGCCCATCAGTGAAGCCTCATCAGTAACCATTAGTGCAGCCTCATCAGTGCCCATAAGTGCAGCCTCATCAACGCACATCAGTGAAAGAGAAAAATTACTTATTTGCAAAATGTTATAACAGAAATTAAGAAACTTTTTTTTCCCATAAATTTCGGCCTTTTTGTTTGTTTGAAAAGCCTAGTGATGATTAAATACGACCAAAAGAAAGCTCTATCTGTCTTCAAAAAAAATAATACAAATTTCACATAGGTACAATGTTGCTTGACACTGCAATTGTCATTCAAAGTGAGACAGCACTGAAAGCAAAGCTGAAGTGGTTAAATTACTTTGAGAAATGGCATAAGTCCACGTGTGCTACAAGAAAGTACCATAATTTGCAATATACAGCATCATTTAGGAAACTAGGCAACTTTTTTGTTTAGTAGTATTTTTTGCATAAAAAGCAGGCATGCTTAAAAACATAAAAGAAAATCAAGCACCGATTGTATATGGCACAGCATTCAACATCCTTGCACACTTCACTGCTGGGAGTAAATTATTTATAAATCTCGAAGCTTTCTTTTCTCTGGTTAAAAATCTGTATTAGAATTCAGGGACAGTGGATATAGTGTACATTTCATATCACAGCTTCCCTTCCCATTATCCGAGCTGTCCCAGTAACATTTGCCTCTGTATATGTAGAGGCAGAAGGCTCCACACTCTTAAAAAGCATTTGACTGCCACAGCTGCAGTGGAATACATTAGCTATGCTCCTATGGATGCTGTCAGCCAGCTAACACTGCAAGCTGCACTCAATGCCAAATTATTCTCTACATGGATTTAGAAATGTATCATGCCCTTAAATGACTTGGCCGGATTAAATATCAGGCAATCAATGGGGCAGATTAGTTGCTAAGGAATCACACAATCTATTTTTTAACTAGTTACTTTAAATTAGGACATTCTGATTTTGTCTGTCCTCTTAAAAATAAATGTAAATATTATTATTTTAACAGCTTTATAATAAGTGTGCATTGCAAATGACTGAATTTCAGTAATTAACTACTTGACAACCACAGATAGCCGAATGACGGCAATACTGTGGCCGACCAGTTCTGGGAGGGCGTCATATGACGTCCTCCCAGAACACGCTCTCCTGCGCGCCCCCGGGGTGCGCACCCGGCGATCTCTTACAGACACAGCTGATCACGTGATGTGTGGTAAAAAAGCCAATCACAGCAGCCTTTTACTACGTAATCAGCCGTGTCCAATGACACGCAGATCACCGGGAAATGCAATTGCCGGTTCTCGGCTGCACTTTCCTCACACTGTCAGAGCGCGAGGAAAGTACTGCCGAGATCGGCAGCTGTCAGAGCAGGGATCGGCACCGATCATCAGGGCACTGATGATCAGTGCCCCAATGATCGGTGCCCAGCAGTGCCACCCACCAGTTCCGCCCACCTGTGCTCAGCAGTGCACCTACCTGTGCCCAGCAGTGCCACCCAGCAGTGCCACCTAGCTGTGCCCAGAGGTGCCACCTACCTGTGCCCAGCAGTGCCACCCACCTGTGCCCACCAGTGCCACCCACCAGTGCCCATCAATGCAGAGATGCCAGTCAGTGCCACCAATCAGTGTCCAGCGGTTGTGCCAGTCAGTGCCCAGCAGTTGCGCCAGTCAATGCCTAGCAGTGCCGCCACTCAAACCCCAGCAGTGATACCAGTCAGTGCCACCTATCAGTGCTGTCTATCAGTACCCATCATCAGTGCCGACTATCAGTGCCACCTATCAGTGCCGCCTATCAATGCCCATCAGTGCTGCCTCATCAACGCACATCAGTGAAGGAGAAAAATTAATTTTATAATGGAAAACAAAGAAAAAAATTTTTTTTCAAATTTTTAGCAATTTTTTGTTTATAGCGCAAAAAGTAAAGTGCCCAGTGGCGATTAAATACCACCAAAAGAAAGCTCTATTTGTGAGAAAAAAAAATTTATAAAAATTTCATATAGGTACAATCTTGCATGACCGCGCAATTGTTAATCAAATTGCAACAGCACTAAAAGCAGAAAATTGGCCTGGTAAAGAAGGGGGTATAAGTGCCCGGTAGGCAAGTGGTTAAGTGTTTGTCATCATACATTGCAGGCTTATTTAATAGGGCAGTAATGCATAAAACTAAAGGTCTAGACCAGGGGTGGGCAAACTTTTTGACTTGAGGGCCGCAATGGGTTCATATATTGGACCCGGGGGCCGGACTAGCTGCTGGCCGGCCCAGCCACTACCATGCCATCCATAGTAAGTATAGTAATATTCCCCCATAGTAAGCATAGTAATTAATCCCCCATATAGTAATTCATCCCCCATAGTAATTCATCCCCCATATAGTAATTCATCCCCCATAGTAATTCATCCCTCATAGTAATTCATCCCCCATATAGTAATTCATCCCCCCTATAGTAATTCATCCCCCCTATAGTAATTCATTCCCCCCTATAGTAATTCATTCCCCCCTGTAGTAATTCATTCCCCCCTATAGTAATTCATCCCCCTATAGTAATTCATTCCCCATATTGTGTCAATTCACTTACCTTTGCTCCGCGCGTTCCTCTCGCCGTGTTCCCGCGCCGTTCCGGTCTTCGGGGCGGACTGTGAGAGGAGAGGAGTTCGTCACGCTGCCCCGCCTACATCATGATAGCCAATGTTTGCCACGCTCCGCGGGCCGGATTAAAAGGTCTGTCGGGCCGTATACGGCCCGCGGGCTGTAGTTTGCCCATTGCTGGTCTAGACTATTCTTGTGAATCCAGTCAATCAGGGTTCATGAATTGTCTGCTTCTTCTAGGAATGAACAAAGCTGCATGTAAAGGTTGACATACATTAAAAAAAAATATTTTCCCAGCTAGAATAGAAACCAATCAGCTTTCACTTTCATTAGAGCAGATTAATTAAAACAAAGACTATTTATGATTGTTTAATTTACTTTTGTATACTGCAACAACTGAATAACAGGACTATATATCAAGATATATCACAAATAAATGTGTGTTCATGTTAATGCAAGTAATATTTTCAACATTCAGTAGTATAAGAAAAAACATCTACATAGTCTGACAGTGCTAGGCCCTGCCACTGTGTGATTGTGGGGAAAAGAGTGTTGTGTCTGAGTGGAGAAGACTGTTTTCGGTTTTCTCCAGGTTTTGTAATCTCGGATTAGGGCCTGGGGTCCGAAGACTTGAAAGAGTCTTGGTGGGACAAAGCCTTCGATCCTGTGTCTAGGTCTTTTTGGAGACTTGCAGGCTATGTGAATGTGCGGGTGTGCACACAAGTTTAAGAGAAGCCTGGCCATAGCTCAGGGCTACCGTCAGGAGACAGGTGTGTGCTCCCTCCAGGAGACAGGCATATTCCTATCAGGAGAGGTGCTCCACTCGAGAGACAGCACTCCATGCTGTAGGAGAGATTTCTTACTCACAGGACTGAGAGAGTCCAGGCAGCTAAGCAAGTCTGGGAGACTGGGTGAGCCTAAACAACTAGGTGAGTCAAGGGGATTAAGGGAATTTGGAGGTCTGAAAGGAGTGAGAGAACCTGGGGTATCAGGAGAGCCCCTGTCAAGGGGCCAGGAAGTGGGTCTGTGCAGTGAGTTGCTGCAGCTAAAACACTAAGAGAGCCCAGGAGAGCTGTGTAAGAAGGGTGAGCCAGGCAGCTCAGAATTTTCTGTTTTGCTGACCAAAAATCCCCAGCATGGGCAAGTGGTCTGTTTCAAACTTTGCTTTAAGTTTGGAAAACAAAAAGTAGAGATGCTGTACATCGGAACCCAGCCACTATATAGAGAGGTAAAGATAAGGCTTCAGCCTGAACTCCTTTTGGCTATGCTCCTCTGACATGTTTTGTCCTGCCCAGGGGCGGACTGACCATTTGGAAACTCAGGCACTGCCAGAGGGCGCCGGGGTCAGTAGGGGGCCCCATGAGATGCCCCTGGTACCTTTTTCATAGGCTTTTTTGAGTTTGTGCAAGGACACAGGGGCCCCATGATCCCCTATTGCCCAGGGGCCCCACGAGTTGTCAGTCCGCCCCTGGTCCTGCCTATGGGTCGTAATCAAAGAGGTCTGTAAGTGGGGCAAAACACGTCAGAGGAGCATAGCCAGGAGGAGTTCAGGCTGAAGCAGTATCTTAACCTCTTTATATAATGGGTGGGTTCTGGTGTGCAGCATCTCTAACTCCTATATTCTGTTGCTACAAAGGGACTGCAAGAGATCAGCAAGACTGAGATTCAACAAATGATGATAAAAGGGTAAAAACAGTATGGTAAATGGTAAATGTTTATGATACATAGTGCTTTGATGCTATTCTTTGGCTTTCAGTAAGAGTTTATATTTACTTTACATTTGCTTTATAAGAAAATTAGTTTAATTTGATCCTCACATTTAGGTGCTCTGCTTTTTGAAGGCATAGCTTACTATAACTGGCCATACAAAACTAAAAATTCAAGCCATGGATAGCTCTGCTGACAACATCCATCTTGACAAACTTTGATTGAGAAATTGAAGGAGGTGGACAGAGAAAAGTCAGCTGTGGTTGCCAGCTATCAGAATACTATAGCTGGCAGTGAGAGATGCATCTATCCATGCTGTATAGCACTGATGGGGGAACTTATAGATTTCTCTCCTTCAGTCCAGAAGAAAGGCATACAATAGAGTTACAAGGCAAGGTAGATCCACTCTAATATATAAATCAGGAGAAACATATACAGGGTCACTTGACAATCTGTAATAGTATACCTTATGAAATGCAAATGTGGAGCATTTTATGTAGGGAAACGAAACACCTCTTTTTAAAAAGGATTAGGGACCATGTTTCCCTAATCTCGAAAAAGAAATTGGAAACTCCCATTCCTAGACATGATGGTCTATACCATGGATTTGACCTTAATGTCATTTTCTTCTTTGTGTTGGAACATATTCCTGCCCATGAATTTGACATTGATAGAACTCTGTTACAATTGGAAACTAAATGGATTTATTAATTAAACCTTTAATTTATTGAAGACTCAATGACTCTGTCAGACACCGCCTGGCGGTACCTCTAGCGATCCACAGGACAGGATTCCCCAGGGCTCGGGGTCTAAGCCCCAGTCTGCTTATTCACCAGGGCCCCTGATGGTGGGGATGGACTTGGAGCAGACAGTGACAAGGTCACGGCCCCTGAGTACACCCGCCTGTGGTAGAGTGGTCCACCAGAGGTATATACTGGTAGAGAGCCTGACGTGAAGAGGCGGATAGGCCTGAGCAGCGGTGACCGGATCCGTACAGGATGGATGGATGGCAGGGTAGTGAAGCGTGGTCTGACAGGCCGGGTCGGTAACAGTGGGGACAGCACGGTACAAGGCAGCAGACAAAGAGTAGTCAGGTCACTCACCGGGTTCGGTAACAGGAGTTCAGATCAATAGGGATATCCAGAAGAGTAGTCAAATGAGCCAGGGGTCAGAGCAGGAGATAGTCAGCAGAGGTCAGGATCAAGCAGGGTCGGCGACAAGTCAATCAGCAGGAACACAAGAGCAGGAACAGGGTAATAAGACCATACGGCAACTAGTGTCTGTGCAGGGCTGGTTTAAATAGTGCGCCTGCGCTGTCATTGGTGCCAGGAATGCGTCCGCGATTGGGAGTGCACATGCGCGGCCACAGCAGCCTAGGTCCTAGCGCCTGCTGATTAGAGCGCATTGGCGTTCAGCGCATGCGCATACCCGTGCGCCGCCGTGATCGCTAACAGACTCTATTAGTTACAAACCTTTTTTAAAGGTTGCTTTGATGCCAACAATTTTATTCAGCTATGTTTCCCCTAGCTGTCTTCCCACTAGGGGCTGCACGCCATCAACATGGCAACATTTCTTAGGCACCCACTGTGTTAATGTGGATGTTATTTCCAGTGTTATTGTCTCCTAGTACCCTCTGTACTTGTTATTTCACAATTAAATACTTGAACAAGAGAAATGTGGGTTTTTTTGTGATTGCTCACGTGTTTACTTTTTTCTATCTATATATTTTGGATACTTTGTATATTTTGTATTAAATTAATGTTATTTAACTTTGATTTTTCCCTATGTAATTTGGTTTATTTTTTGCAGAAAATATATTGATGCATATTCACACACATATGGAGGGACTGTAATCCCACCCATTGAGGGATACATGTGAGATGTAATGTATCTATTACCCAGATATTCATCTTTAGTTTCCTTGCGGAGATGGGTTATCTAATAAGACCACCGTATGGATGCCCTGGGCATGGTTTTTGTGCTCCTGTTGGGTTCGTCCTCAGGGCACAATCAGCGCCCCTTTTTGGAGCATTGTGCTTGTGACCTTGGCCTCAGTCTCCACCTCCCCCTGTCCCTGACATTCCTGTTTGGTCGAAGCCCAAGGCTGGGAGCTTATTGGCATATGAGTTTTATTTTCTACACTTGCCTGAGGCTCTTTCTCTTTTGGGGTGTTTTCCATCTTTTCCTGCTATTCCTTTCTCTTTCTGCAGAA